GACACAGATACTATGGGCTGATGTGATGTTATGGCTTACTGTGTCTTTCCACATTAGCCAGTAGCATCACCCTAGGATCCTAATAAAAACCATTCATTATCATGGCTCCCTCAAAGATATTTCTTAGGACCTTTGTTCATTATATTACTCAGTACCATCTTTAGGGTAGAATTCCCTGGGAGGTGGGGGGGACATTTCTTTCTAGAACAGCTATACATGTCTTAAGCAATTGATTTATCTCCTATCTTAAGGAAACCAAAAATCATGTAAGTGATTAGGAGTCAGTGTTCTTCATTAGTACTAAAGGGCTTAGGAAAATGGGACTTACGGTTTTCATTTTTGTACTAGACTTACTTTTATCTATATTATGCTACCATTGTTTTCTCCTTTGATTTTATACATATATATTATATGTTGTCTTTCTCTATTTAATAATCTTGAAAGCTAATTTATGTAGCCAGGTGCAAATAAGTTGACTCAAAAATACTTTCTGAGCATTTATTAATTGCCAAGAACTCCTTTAGGGGATAGAGATTCCATAGTGAACAAAACTGATATGGTCCTTGTACTTGTGGAGCTTGTTTGTGAAGACATGAAAAGTTCATTATGGCATGTCTAGAAAATAAATATACACACATTCCACCAATGATCTCGGGAAAATAGCTTAACCTCCTTGAGCCCATCTCCTTTTTATTCAATAAGGCAGGATAATACCTTCATTTTGTAAGATTTTTGCGAGGAGATCAAACACATGATATATACCTGTCACATAGAGAACACAGGTTCTCTGTTAATGCCAATCCCTTTTCCCACTTAAAACTCTGATAATTTTTGTTGGAATGCTTCTGACTCAAACTCCATGTTGAAAAAGTGGATGTTTCAGATCCTCCATTAAAGCTAAGGGATAGATGCCTCAACACAAATTTTATTTTATAAAAAGCCCAACATGACTCAATCAAGAGGATGCTGCTAAGGGAAGGAGAGAAACTTAAGTGAATTTCCCTCTAAAAAGAAGAGGATTAAGAAAGAAGAAGCCATCTGAAGGAGAGAAAGCTGCTTCCGAATGGGAAGAGAAAGACGACAGACAGACATGTTGGGGGTTCCACCCATATCAGAACCTTGAGGCTCCCTCCTTCCTATCCATTCTGATTTCCCTCCAGAAAATAAATCTGGGAGCAGGAAACTTGGAGGGGCAGTTCCTTGTTCTTTTTCTTAGATCTAGAGAGCTAAGAAAGGCAAGCACTTCTAACACTAAACTATTTTAAGAAAGTAATTTGTTTTTTGGCTTTTTCTTTTCTCATTTTAAAGATTGAGAGTCCGGTAAAAGTGCCTGCTAAGCTTGCATTTCCATTCATCACAAAAATATGATGCATGTATGTGCAGACCATGAACCATGCTCAAGGCACAGCCACTGCTCACCCAATGGCAGTCTATCATAAAATACTTGGAGACAAATTACTCAAGAGGAAATGAACATTCTGCTAAATTATGACCCTACAACATCAACATGTAAGCAGCCCAAAGTCTGAGTTCCATCAAGTGCGACTCCAGGATGTCTGTGAAGCATCCCCATAATCATTTGCCAAAAATGCAAGAACTGTCCTATCCCTGAATAAGGAGTAAATCAGTCTAGCTGGGAAAGGTTTTCACAAGCCTAAAAACGATATCCACTTAAATTCTACACACTTATACATTACCTAGAAAGAGGCACCTTGCTGTAGTAGTAAGATCTTTAGCTTCAGAGTTAAACAAACCCAGATTCGGATCCTGCTACTGCCACTTTAACTTCAGTATTATTAAAGCAAGTATTAGAACCTGCCTTGCTGGAGTGTTTTAAGGTTTCTATTTGATCTCCCACATAAAGAACCCTGCAGTGTCTTGTTACATCCCTGACCTTGCTATTCCTTTTCAGTGGTAACTGGTGTACACAAAAACAATCCAAGATGTGTAGATGTAAAGCTACTTGAACATAGAATGAAACAGAACTTGATTAAGCCCTAGTATCTGCGGAACAGGCTTTCAAATCCACAGGCTGTCCTTGAGCTGCCTGAGGTATTGCATACGTTGGAGAATTAAGTAGCACTTGAAGACTCAGAAAAAATTCTCACGTGTTTTCATTTCACAAGATTCTTTTTCTTCTTGTGAAAAAAGAAGAAAAAGATGTGTTTGTGGATACGTCTTATGAGTGCATACAAACCAACTGCAGCATAGAGCTCATATCATTTTAAAATGGTAATATCTGTTGTCTTGCCCAAGAGAAGAGAGAGATGAGGGAGAAAGAAGAAAAACAGAAGGGAGAAGAAACTAATGCTTCTCAAATGTCCACAATGTCCACTCCTTGCACTGAGTTCCTTGGTTACCACCTTGTGAAATGGATATCAATATTTTAATTTTAACAGATGAGAACAGAGAAGCTCAGAAAGGTGGCCTTTACCAAAGTTGCACCCTTGTAAGTGAGCAGGCTAGGATTTAAACTTAGGCTTTTTGCATTTTTTGTCCAGAAGGAGGTAGAAAGGGAGTTTTACTAATGAACCACTACAGTGACGCTTTAAAAAGCTGCTGCACCACGGTGTCTTGAGAGCTTTTAACATAAGCATTTCCAGTGCCCTGTAAAAAGAGCATGAGCTTGAGGGTTGAACAAGCCTGTGCCCAAATCCTGAATTGCCATTTACCCATCAGATGTGTAACCTGTGTAACAAGAGGAACTTATCCAGATATTACTGCTTGGTATCCATATGCTTTTGACCAAGGAGGAAATAAACTGTGTAGAGATTCTGAAGTATCACTCCATAGAAGCCAGCGCTAGTAGAGGGCATGGCTAAGCATGTGGACCCCAGTAATAAACAAACTTGGCTTCTAATCACAGCTCTGAGAGGCAATAAAAAACACGGCAGTTAAAAGCATAGACCCTGAGGCCAGACCCTGGGCTCTGTCTCAGCTCTGACACTTATTAGTTCTTCCCACTTAACCTCTCTGTGTCTCAGTTTCTTCATCTGCAAAGTGGTCATGATAAAAGTATACACCTCCAAGAGTTGTGATTTAGGTACAGTCGTGCACCACATAACAACATTTCAGTCAATGACAGACCATGTATACAACCATGATCCCGTAAGATCATAATGGAGCTGAAAAATTCTCATCACCCAGGGACATTGTAGCTGTCCTAATGTCATAGTGAAACACGTTACTCACAGGTCTGTGGAGAAGTGGTGATGCAAACCTACTGCGCCACCAGTTGTATGCAAGTCTAACAAATAGAGTATGTACAGTGTATCAGGGGTCCCCAACCTACAGTGAGTTGCATATTTTTTCATTATATATTACAATGTATTAATAATAGAAATAAAGTGCACAATAAATGTAATGTGCTTGAATTATCCCAAAACCTTCTTCCCCACTACCTAGTCAGTAGAAAAATTGTCTTCCATGAAAATGGTCCCTGTTGCCAAAAGGGTTGGGGATCACTTATAATACCCAATAGTGATAATAAAGTCTATGTTACTGGTTAATGTATTTACTATACTTTTTATCATTATTTTAATTTAAAGTGCACTCCTACTTATTTTAAAAAAAAAAAAAAAGTTAACTGTAAGACAGCCTCAGGCAGGTCCTTCAGGAAGTATTCCAGAAGAAGGCATTGTTATCATAGGAGATGACAGCTCCATGCCTGTTATTGCCTCTCAAGACCTTCCAGTGGGACAAGATGTGGATGGGGAAGACAGTGATATTGATGATCCTAAGCGTGTAGACCTAGGCTAAACTGTGTGTTTCTGTCTTAGCTTTTAACAAAAAAGTTTAAAAAGTTTTTAAAAATTTAAAAACAGTCAAAGTCTTTATATACTTATAGAAAAGTATATAAAGAAAAATATTTTGAACAGCTATACAATGTGTTTGCATTTTAAGCTAAATGTTATTACAAAAGAGTTTAAAAGTTTTTTTAAAAAATGTAAAAGTTTATAAAGTAAAATAGTTATAGTAAGCTAAGGTTAATTTATCATTAAAGGAAGAAAAATTATAAATTGATTATATTTAAATACACGTAAAGCATTCAGCACAGCTCATGGTACATTTTACAAGTGCAATAAGTGCGTATTACTGCTATTACTACTATTACTTCTATTACTAGGCTCCTGTCTTTGAGCAAGTTATTCTCCCTGGGCTTCAAGTATCTCTTCTGTAAAGTGAGGATATAATTAGACCCCCTTCAAAGAGGTATTTGTGAGATTTAATGGGAAACTTTTCTTAACATGCTCAATGCCATTTTAGTAGTTATTTTTATTAGCTAGATGCTCCGATGCTCATTTGTTCTTTGAAGCGTCATACTCTTCAAGTAAGTTTATGGTTCTGAGTAGTTTTTTGGTAATAGAAATTATAATATTCATTGTTATGTATCAAATAAAGAAATGTTTTACTCTCAGAGATTTCAAAGTAGAGAGTGCATCTAATATATGCCATCCTCTCTAGCGGTGACATCATAAACATTCTCCCTGTGCTTCTTTCATTCTCATATTGTTCAGGAAATTGTTTAACTCAGAAAGTCAAAAAAATGCTCTCCTACCTTCCTCAAGGCAGAATATATAATCACTATATTCTCACATAAAACATCACTGCAATTTTCAGCTTTTTCCAATAATCTTCAAAACTTGAGTGACTTTTCTGCACATCTCTCATCACTAAACTAATTTGTGTTGGTTTCAATATCACTGAACAGGAATGTACTAGTCTTTCCTTAAGGCATCTTTGATTAAAGTTATAGTTTCTTTGCTTGGATTTTATTTAACCTCTACGCCAGCGGGGTCTCCCCAAATCTTAAGATCAAGAGAAGACTGATTGGAAGCACTGCTGCACTGTGAAATTCAACACCTCCCCACGCCGGCACTGCTTCACAAAATCTCCATGAATTCTGGGGACGCTAACTTCTCTGGCTCTCAGTTCCTGCCTCTGCTTTATCAGGGTTGTTTATGGATTTATAAAAATTCATTCAACAAATATTTAAATACCTTGTCTGTGCCAGGTACTTTTCTGGGCTGTTCACATATGGCACTGAACAAAACACACGAAGAAATCATTTCTCTGTCCTCTCTTCTTCTTCCACACATTGTCACTCAGAATGTAGAACTTGGCTCCATTCAATTACAAGCAAAAAGGCTCCATCTCATAGATGATATTTCTGTCTCCAGCAGATATCACTGAAGGTTTGGGTAGATAACAGGGGCGGGTGGTTAGAGGCGATTGGGGAAAAGACTAAATTGCAACCAAAAAAATTGTTTTAGTTCTGTAGAGTCTCTTTAGCCAATCTTCTTCCTCCCCTTTCTCCCCTTCCAAACTGCTACTATATTTTAATCCAAAGTAAATGCAATTTTCACTACCCCCACAAGGGCTTTGCAGAAAATATTAAAAGGGACCATTCTGAACCTTTCCTTTGGCTACCAAAATGAGATCAAAAGGTTTGAAATTATCACTTGGAAGAACAACATCAACTTCTTAGCCAGGGAGCAATCACCATCTCTACTCTCTGCCTGGGTTGTTGGTGGAGAGATGTGGTAAGGAGATGGTTTTATTTTTCTGTCCAGATTTGAAAGAAAGCTCAAAAAGTCTTAGATAGGTAGAACTATATACCATCTATCTGTCCATCTATACCTTCATTCATTCATCTATTCAATCATTCAACAGTCCTTCACCTCTGTACCCACAAGACCCTGTGTTTGTGTCAAAACAAAACAGAATGTCCTAATGTCCAACTTTAAGGAGACCACAGTCTAGACTCCAATAAAGAAAAGGTGATGATTAAGCTGAATCTGGAAGAATAAGTGGAATTCACCAGGTAGAGGTGAAGAGAAGGGAATTCCAAGTGAGGAAAATAGACTCTGCAGAGACAGAGAGAGACACAATAACTTGGATCTATACATCCTTAATGTATATTGGTGAGTGGAGCAGTAGATCTGGTGAGAGGAAGTATTGCAGGGGAGGGAATGAGAGAAGAGAACCCTGCAGACCTAGGCAGGTACAAATGTACCAAGAGTCCCTTCCTTCTAGGACATTCCATGATGCCAGGCAACTCTTACAGTTTTGAATACCCTCTGTGGAAGTTTGACACCCTGTAATAAGATTGACATTTCTGAGAGCCATGTTTACAGCTAAGGAGATGTCAACTGTCTGAAACACCAATCTGTGGTATTCAAAGGAAAGATCCAGCCTGTGTATTTTTGTTAGCTGTTGCTCTTGCCTCTATAATCACAAATATCATATACAGAAAAACCATATTTATAAAAGATCCCAGAGTTCTAAAGTACCTAGTTTCATTGTTCATTGTTCATTTTGGGTAAGGGGAAAAAGGTAAAAATGTTGACATGATATAACTTAAAATTAAAATCATAAACATTCACAGAATTTAAACTAAAAATAAATGAATAAAATTATACAGTACTAATTAAAAGAGACCAAACTAGACCATAAGTTCCATAATAGAAGAATCAAAGTTAAACTCTTACAAAAATTATTAGTCACTTTCTTTGTTTACTGTTTCTTTGTTTACTGTTTACTGTTTACACTTTCTTTGTTACTGTTTACACAGTTTTTGTTCTCTTATATTTTTATTTCAAAATATTAAGGGGATGCAAATGTTTTTGATTACAGGGGTAGCCTTTGTAATATTTGAGTCATGGCTACAGGTGTGCCCATCACCCAAATAATGTTTGTTGTACCCCTTACGTAGGTATTTGTCCCACACCATTTGATTTCCACTGAGTTTTACTGCCCTCTGTGCACATGTATGTTCATTCGTCAGTTCCAGTTTAATAGTGAGTGCATGTGGTGTTTGTTTTTCCAATATTGAGATGCTTCACTTAAGAGAATGGTCTCCAGTTCCATGCAAATTGTTGTAAATGGCCACCAAAAAAATGGTGATATAGTACCTATTGTATTATCCTGGTTAGAGCTGAAACCCATTCTACTAAGTGAAGTATCTTAAGACCAGAAAAACAAGCACTACATGTTCTCACCATCAAATTAGTATTAACTGATCCACACTTAAGTGCATATATATTAATAACATTTATCGGATGTAGGACAGATGGAAGGGGGGACGAAGAGATGGGTATACACACACATAATGGGTATGGTATGCACCATCTGGAGGATAGACATGCTTGAAGCTCTGACTCAAGTGGGGCAAGGGAAATATATGTAACCTAAACATTTGTACCCCCATAATATGCTACAATAAAAAAAATTGTTGCAAATGGCATTAATTCGTCCTTTTTTATGGCTGAGTAGTACTCCATGGTATACATATACCACATTTTATTTAATCTACTATTGAATTGATGGGCACTTGGATTGATTCCACATCTATGTAATTGTGAATTGTGCTGCAATAAACATTCGAGTGGAGGTGTCTTTTTGATAGAAAGATTTCTTTTCCTTTGGGTAGATACCAGTAGTGGGATTGCTGGATCAAAAGGTAGTTCTACTTTTAGTTTTTTGAGGAATCTCCATATTTTCCATAGAGGTTGCACTAATTTGCAGTCCCATTAACAGTGTATAAGCATTCCTTTCTCACTGCATCCATGCTAGCATCTATTGTTTTTGGACCTTTTAATAAAAGCCATTCTGACTGGGATAAGGTAATACCTCACTGTGGTTTTAATTCGCATTTCCCTTATATTTAGTGACGTTAAGCATTTTTGCGTATGGTTATTGGCCATTTGACTATCTTCTTTTGAGAAGTTCTTTTCATATCTTTTACCCACTTTTAAATGAGATTGTTTTTTCTTGCTGATTTGCTTGAGTTGTTTGTAGATTCTTGTTATTAGCCTTTTATCAGATGTATAGCTTGTGAATACCACTATGATATTAAAATATCCACATTCAAGAAATACATTTCTATTTCCAATTAAATCTTCTGTAAAAAAAAAAATAAGCATTTTTTAAATGAGGAAAAATGCAAACAACTTTAATTTCATTTTTCAAAGAAAAGGTCAAATTCTAAGCCTACCAAATTATTGTTTAAGTTCTTAAAAAAGAAGAAAAAAATTCTGAAATCTCTAAATCTTGATGACTTTAATATAAAAAGTTCTACAACAGAGTAGATTGGATTTTTTTCACTGAAATTTAAAATTTCTTAAAATTATTTGCAATAGCATCTTTAAAGACACTTTATTGTAAACGGAAACAATACCAGAAAATGAGTCTAGTGTTTTTATACTGTTGGATAAATTAGCCATAACCATATATAAGTTATACCTAAAGAAACTGTGAAAGCCTAAGGAAAAAGATAGAAAGTAGGCATCTAAAATACATTCTTTCTATGACCTCATGGTAACATTTTGAGAAAAGTAGCCTTTAAGTATAAGAAATTAAAAGGAAGTCTTTGTGTTTTTAAGACTAGTGAAAGAAATATAAAATTTCAATTAATGAGAACACCTAATGGTATTTGGGTGCTCTAATTAACTGAAATTTTTCATCACTTCAAGATGGACTAAAGGAAAAAAACACCTTTTTTTAGTGGCAGATCTTTCTAACATGTATTAATACTTCTCTCTATGTTACTAAGTACAATTTACAAAGCCTAATTTTTTATTTGAAGAATGGGGATATCACAGGCCTCAGGGCTGTTACTCAGCACATCTCTCCTTGCCGTCTGGCCAAATGTAGTTGTCAGAGGTGGGGCTGAATATATATTGACTGTGAGATATAACTTGAAATCTTTAGGATGTTTCAAATGAGCTTGTTTGCTTGTAATTTTTCCTTCCAAACATAAAATTTTCTGGAAAAATTAATTGAGAATGCTGGTTAATGAGACTTTTTGTTCTATTGTACTTGAATAGATTATAAGTGGCTAGAAAGAAATATTGTGGTATTGTTAATGGGGAGGAGATTGCAACAATATAAATTTTCAGGCAGATAAATTTTAATAGGCTACACTCATTTTGAGCTTTCATCAATTCGGTGTTCATAGGAATAGCTTAAGTACAGGATCTGAGACCTCTTCTACTTTCTGAGATCCTTTTAGAAGTTTAATTAAAAAATAGTATATATTAACATGGGAATAACTAGGATCTTAAAATTAAAGGATTAATTTTTATGTATATATAGCATCTATTTAGTATCACTTCAAGCTGTCTCATAAAATAATATCGATAGTAAAATTAGTATCAATTTTGACCTAAGTTGGGAACATCTGTAGTCCCAGCTACTTGGGAGGCTGAGATGGGAGGATCACTGGAGTCCAGGAATTTGAGGCCAGCCTAAGCAACATGTGAGAGCCCATCTCTGAAAAAAAAAAAAATTCAACCTGTCTCATAAAATATCAGTATCATGTACTTGCTTTTGTCGTTGGACCTAAAAGGCCATAATGTATTATTTAAAGGGTTTGACTGAGTTCAGGCTAAATCTCTTTAAAATGTTAATTTAATATCTTTTAATATATATCTGAAAGTTAGAAAGAAGAAAATGTGGGGGCTAGCAGGGGATCCATTTACAGCAGATTAAGAAAAACTTCATAGGCAACTTAAAATTGATTTTATCAAATTACTTTCTGCCTATTTATAGTGACTTGGGACACAGTGTATGGACATATTTCCAGAGAGTGCAAATGACCCAATACTTTCATGAACAAAATGGTCCACCAAAATGTCCTAATCCTTCAGAATTGGAAACAAGAAATAAATGTGTGTACCTATTTATAATTCATCAGACAAACTAGTGAACTAATTAGTAGAAATATATACTTTTGGAACTGCTGGGAATACTTCAATGATCTTAAAGTCTTTTCTATTGAATTCTTTCTTAGACTTTGAAAGTCAAAAGTCATCTTTTTTATTGTGATTATATAACTTTGGTTGGATGTATTTCCTAACATGGCTCTATATTTGTCAATCCTAGAGCACATAAAACAGTCTGTGAATTCATTAGCAATCTTATGGTACCTTGGAGTTTTGCAACTGCAGCTATAATGGGCCAGCTCCAGACTTGCCTTGTATTTCTATTGTTAGAGGAAGTACATTAACTTTTTCATTTTATTATCATGTAGCATTATCAAGTTACTATTTCGAAAAATAAATTGTTCTTTCAGATGCTATAAACTCCCAAATGCACATGAAAAATAATTTACTTGGCTGATAGGACTTTGCTGATTTATAGCATTATTAGAGCATATTGAATACTCACATTTACATATATTATCTAT